GGCCCGGCCTGCTCCACGACGGGCAACCCCGGTTTCCTTGACAACGTCATCTCGGTCGGCGCGCTCGGCTCGTGGACGACGGACAGCCCCCAACGACCTCGCCTTCTTCTCGTCCAAGGGCCCCACCAAGTACACGGGCGCTGACGGCAAGCCGCGCAACCTCGTCAAGCCTGATATCGCCGCCCCCGGCTTCTTCACGCGCTCGGCTGGCATCAAGGCCACGAACGAATACGTCAAGATGGCCGGTACGTCGATGGCCGGCCCCCACGTCGCTGGTGTCGTCGGTCTCCTCAAGAGCTCCAAGGCCGACTTGACGTACGAGGAAGTGTACGCCTACGTCACCAAGTACGCCTTCACCAAGACGTTGACGCCCGAGCCGGCCACGTGGGTCGGCAAGGCCAACGCGACGCTCCCGGGTGCGCCCAACTGCGGCGGTGTCTCGGACGCCTCGTTCCCTAACAACCGCTACGGTTTCGGTCGCGTCGATGTCGCCAACATGTACGACAACGGCAAGCTCAAGCCGGTCAACCCCAACCCTGCCTGCTAAGTGTGCTTCCGTCGACTGCCTCTTTTGAGCGGACGTAACTCGTGTGAATCCATGTCATTCTCCTCCTCTTACTTTCTAGTCTCTTGCGTTACGTAATCTTTTAGTCGACCAACTAGCTGACCAGCGCGCACTACATACATTGCTCCTCGATTAGCAAAGGTGCTTGTGGAATGTGCGTGTGGAAACTATCCCGTGTGCATCAGTTCGGCAATGCGGCCAAGAACCACGCTCCAGAGATCCTGGCGACAACCAGACAATACTACATATACATATCTGTGCCGACGTGCTCTGTCTGTTGTTGACGATAGGCGGGTTTAAACTCGATTTTGCTCCAGTGCGGCTACGTCGACAACGCTACAGCGAGTAGACATGTCCAACCAGTGTACTGTCTAATCCTCTGTGGACGTGCTCGACAGTTTCGTTTCGACGCCAACTCGAAAGTGGACACAAAACGGATGCCGTCATCTCGGTCTCGGGACGTGATCACGGTGCATGCCGTCTTTCCATTCGCCACAAGATAAGGGCATTCGCATGACATACTGTCTACTACGTGGCACTTGGTCCAGAGTTCATAGAGTCGAGCGATCGGGTAGGTGTGTGCGAAAGACCGACCTCGCGTCGAAACCCGGCGGCGTGGATCTGGCACCTCTACGGCGTCTGATAACGAGTTACCAGCGTGTCCGCGGTCCAGCGCTCCAAAGCTGGGTGCATTGCTTGCCAAATCAATCCAATTCCAATAGTGAATTGCTGACCGCACACGCCGTTGGGGCCGCCGAGTGCCACTGTGCAGGCGATCGGTCGCGGCTGTTTCGGTGCGCGGGCGTTGCACCGATGAACGCAACTCAGATTGCACCATGTTTCTGGGTACAATGCAAATTCTCAGGTCCAAACTTTGTTGTTGAACTGAGTTATATTACATGCAATTAGAAAAGATATGGTAAACTTCCTAATGCGCTCGTGAGGCGTGGCCGGTGCTTCAGCGAGGAGCGTTAGTGGTCGTGATCCGGAACTGTGAGAGGGACCAGGTAGCGTGCACACCAAGGGTCGTCGCAGAGCGACCAGCGACGCGTCAAGAGATGGCACCACAGCGCGCGCGACGAGCTAGGTGCTGGACATGCAGTCGTGCGATAGTAGCTGCCCGGATCGCGAGCGCGGCAGCGGGAAGTTGCGTCAGCGCAGGTCCTGACTTTGTATTCGCGTTGGCGAGCCGCCGCAGGTCTGGTCTCTACGGCCATTTCCCATCCTCACCAGCACATGCCACTCTGCCTTCTCAGATAGGGCTGCGTGTCACTCTCCTCCAAGCCACTCGAGAATCTGATATTGTACCCAACCAGTTCCCTCTTGCGATTCAATCGGATCCGTCCCGCTTCCATTAGCTCTACCTCCACCATGAAGGCTGCCATGATCACGCTCCTCGCCGCCGCGGCCGTCGCCCAGGCCAAGGTCGCCAGCTCCGTCCTCCGCGACCTCGAGGTCCAGGGCGCCTCGGACCTCTACATCACGTTCGACCACGTCTACCCGGTCCTCCGCGCGCTCCCCGAGTCGAACGACCCGAGCGTTGTCCGTGAGGCGCTTGTGACCCACGCGACGTCGACGCAGACGGAGGCGCTTGCCGTCCTCGGTGGCCTCGATGCGCAGTCGTTCTGGATCACCAACTCGGTGGTCGTCAAGGGTGCGTCGGCGGATGTCGTCAACAAGCTCAAGGCGCTCAAGAACGTCAAGACCGTCGACCAGCTCCCGGTCGTGACGGTCCCGGAGGTCATTATCGGCGAGACGGGCAAGAACCCCGAGGCGACCAACGAGTGGGGTGTCGACACGGTCGGTGCCCCCAAGGTGTGGCCCACGACCAACGGCAAGGGCGCGGTCATCGGCTCGATCGACACGGGCGCCTTCCACACGCACGAGTCCATCAAGAGCAGCTGGCGCTCGGACAAGGGCTGGTTTGATGCTTTCAAGAAGTCGGTCAACTCGCCTGCCGATATCGACGGCCATGGCACGCACACGATCGGCACGATGGCCGGCTCCAACGGCATTGGTGTGGCTCCGGGCGCCCAGTGGATCGCTTGCCGCGGTCTCATCAACGGCTCGGGTTCGGCCGACTCGCTCCTTGCCTGCGCGCAGTTCATGCTTTGCCCCACCGACCCGGATGGGAAGAACGCCGACTGCAAGAAGGCGCCGCATGTCGTCAACAACTCGTGGGGCGGCTCGAGCACGGACACGTGGTTCCACCCGGCTGCCCAGGCCTGGGTCAAGGCCGGCATCATCCCCGTCTTCTCCAACGGCAACTCGGGCCCGGCCTGCTCCACGACGGGCAACCCCGGTTTCCTTGACAACGTCATCTCGGTCGGCGCGCTCGGCTCGTGGACGACGGACAGCCCCAACGACCTCGCCTTCTTCTCGTCCAAGGGCCCCACCAAGTACACGGGCGCTGACGGCAAGCCGCGCAACCTCGTCAAGCCTGATATCGCCGCCCCCGGCTTCTTCACGCGCTCGGCTGGCATCAAGGCCACGAACGAATACGTCAAGATGGCCGGTACGTCGATGGCTGGCCCCCACGTCGCCGGTGTCGTCGGTCTCCTCAAGAGCGCCAAGGCCGACTTGACGTACGAGGAAGTGTACGCCTACGTCACCAAGTACGCCTACACCAAGACGTTGACGCCCGAGCCGGCCACGTGGGTCGGCAAGGCCAACGCGACGCTCCCGGGCGCACCCAACTGCGGCGGTGTCTCGGACGCCTCGTTCCCCAACAACCGCTACGGTTTCGGTCGCGTCGATGTCGCCAACATGTTTGAAGGTGGCAAGCTCAAGCCGGTCAACCCCAACCCTGCCTGCTAAATTGATTCGTACTCGTTGTCTGCATACTAAGTGTAAATGCAATCCTTCATGTTTAAAACACCAAACTACTTCGGTCGCGTAGTGTGAGCACTCGCGCAGCTCGAGTCGTCGCTCTAGTCCGTCACATAGTAGAGTCCTTTAGCAGTGTTTCGAATCGAGTCGAATGCTTTGGCCTTGTGCAGTGAAGCACGATACGCCACGTGCAGCCTCATGACCGCATGCTCTAATCAAGCACCAGCAACTGCAATCGCACCACAGAAAAAGGCGATTTACGAAAAGCGAATTCGCTACCACGTCACCGAGTACACCGAAATACGACCCACTTTAACAACAACCAAGTACACCACAGCCTCGTACAAGAGGCCGAGCAGCCTGCTCTTCGTCGGCTTCTCCGGCTCCTCGCCCAACACGAGTGGTCGCGACGTCACCTCGCCCCGCGTGACAAGCTGTGACCGATGCCAACGCCAATGGGAAAGAGAAGAAAGGGACAACATCTACGGGGCTCGAACCCCGCACCTCCTGCATGTGAAGCAGGAATACACCGACCGGACAAAAGGTGGTCGACTCGATGCTATCTGCATCTTGACACCGCGGATCGCGCTCCTGCCTCCGGCTGCCTAAATCAAGTCCCTCAACCGAGTACACACAACGAAGAAAGTCCGACAATTTATTTAGTAGTTTTATCTATTGTAAAAGAAGACCCACTTCAACAACAACAACCAAATACACCTAGCTTTACCAATGCGTTAGCGCTAGAGCCGGGCCATAAGGACCGGCAAGCGCTCTACTTGCTAGCGACACGATATTAAAATTTGTACCATGGAAAAAACGATGGGGTCGCTAACGTGCCTGTTGGCTCCTGACCGTCCATTTCGGCCCTGTCACATGAAACGGCCAGCCGTTTCGTTCGGGTCTGCATTGCGGTCCACCGCTTCTTCCCGTCCGTTCATTCGTGGGTGGAGACTAAGAGCATTGAACACAAGCATCGACAACGCATACCTACTATATATATCCTTATACAGAGGCGTCACAATGGCTTAATGAATGTGCTTGCACGTTTTGCAGTTCTTGTTCCAGACCTGGGCCGTGTGCGGCACAAACCGTGGGCAGCCGCACGACCGGCAGCTCCCCATAATCTCCGACCGCCGCGCATCTTGCATCTACCGCAGTCTTGAGCCTGCTGTTCATGACCAGCAACAGAAAACAATCTACCTTGTGCTCTTCAACACCTTGCATGGCTCGCTCCAGCGCCTCGTACAACGGGCGTGCCGCGTTCGGTTGCTCGACCTAACAATATGTATGTTGATAGACTCGTCCACAAGATCGTTGTCGCCGCGTACCGTGCCGTTCAAGATGAGCTCGGGCTCGACTTCGCGGCCGTAAAACTTGGTGTTGAGATCCTTGCGCGCCGCAATGATGGTGCCCGTGAGCGAAATCCCCGCGTATAAGCCGCGGCTGTGCGAGTAACTATAGTTGGCTCCGAGCCCGGCGGGCCCGACGGCGGCGGCGGCCGCGGCCGCACGACCATAGGGCCCGACCGTCAAGTCGAGACCCGCCCCCACGTTGACTTGCGGCTTTTCAAAGACCTTGACAGCGCCTTGCGAGCCACTAATCGAATATGAGTCACAAGGGTCAAGGCCATGCACACCTACAGAATGATCATGATTTCGGCGAGCTCGCCACCGATCTCAAAACCGCCCGAGAGACCTACG